GAGCTGACTTCCTAAACTATCGGGAGCCTCACTGATGCCACCTGCATGCTTTGAGTCGTCAAATGTTTTGTCCTTCACAATTTCTAGAATGAAAACTGGAATCCCATAAGCAAAGCCCCAGGAGCACAGAGTACGTCATACATTCAACTATGGGTGTTAGCGGAAGAGATCTACCATTTGGGCAATGGGGAGGACGCCTGCCCTGAAGTTCCATTCCTCTGCCCATAAGCCAAGCCCCAGGAGCAAAGAGTACGCCATGCATTCAACTACTGTATGGGTGTTAGTGGAAGAGATCTACCATTTGGGCAATGGGGCAGGACGCCTGCCCTGAAGTTCCATTCCTCTCCATCTTCTCGTTTCATCGGTGTGGTCCAAATTTGGTAAAATAGCAAGAGCAGTCGATGGATGGTGTTGGCAATAAACATCTCAATTTTATCTGGGTGCTGCTAGTGTGTCAACGAATAATTTGTAGTGCTGTGGACAGATGTGCAGATCTTGTATCGCAGCTGTGGTCTCCAGAGGGAGGCCCCAGCTGCGATAGAAGGATCTCTGCAAGCAGGATCTGAAGGCCATAGGAATGGACCTCCACAGATGGGAAACTCTGACATCTGAGCGTTCAGCCTGGAGGCAGGCATTGCATCATGGCCTCTCCCAATTTGAAGAGACCCTTGTCCAGCAGGCCGAGGCAAACAGGAAGTCACAAAAGCAGCAAAACCGGGGAGCTGGACAGGGGACAGATTGGATTTGTCCTCAGTGTGGAAGGGATTGTCACTCTCAAATTGGCCTTCTCAGCCACATGAGATGCTGTTTCAAGTCCTCTATACAGAGCACGATCCCATAGTTTTTAAAGACTGAAGGATGCCTAATCTGGACAGGCGATGGAAGCAGTACTGTATACAGATGCTGTAGGAGTGCTGGAATCCCAATAAGGCAGCTATGGAGTAACCACCCCAACTCTGAATTCAATTCTCTCTCTCTCTCTCTCACACACACACACACACACATACCCCTCTCTTTCTCTCTCAGTTTATCAAGCCATGCAAAAGAGACCAAGACTAGCATTTCCCACAACCTGGCAGTTTATTTGCTCCCTGACTACAGACAACTGCATAGGAAACAAAACATGGCATTTTTACAGTGACATCCATGTTATAAAGAAACACATTTGAGTAGCACAACTACACACAAACAGATAAAGCCTCTCTGTCTTAGCACATCTGGAAGCGCACAACCCCCTCCCATTCAGAACCTTCTCTCCCAGATGTGTTCCCACAAAAAAGCCAAATTAAGCAGGCCTCGTCCAAGGCAAGCTGCCATCGACACCTGGCAGGAAAAGCAAAACGGCCACCCCAAACCCAAAGGAGGCCTGAGGAGGGGCCTTCGAAATCAAGAATGGGGTTACGCCGGGCACGTGCAGGGTGTAAATCCTAAGGCAATTTCTCAACAGGTAAGGCAACGGCCACCCCATCCACGGCCCACTTCAGGCTGGCTCAGGGCACGCAGCATTTGAAACAGTGAACAGCCATACTCATTTATTAATTTAAATAAAAGTCAGCTTCACGGTCAAGTGTGGGAATATCCAATCCCCTTTCCTCCGTCTGACAGAGAGGACTTGGGGTCAGCTCAGTGCAGCATTCACAGTAGAAGGGATGGATTCTGACTCGTCTCCATAAAGAAGCCCTAAAAGCAACAGCCAGGATCCCGTAGGGCAGCGGTCCTCAACCTTGGGCCTCCAGAGGTTCTTGGACTACAACTCCCAGAAGCCTTCACCACCACCTCCGTTGGCCAGGATTTCTGGGCATCCAAGAATATCTGGAGGCCCAAGGTTGGGAGACCACTGCCGTAGGGCCTTCCTGCTGATGGAAGAAGCCCACCTAGAAATCCTAAAGGGGGCACTTCTCTCTGCGCTCCCTCAAGATCTGGAAGGGCAAGGAACCCTCTAGTTTCGGATCCTGAGAGCTGCAAAATTATGGAACGGGAAGGAGAAAGCACCGAGGGGATGCTTAGCACGAGGGTCCCAAAGCATCCCGGGCAGCTAAGTGAAAACAGAGAGAAGGGAGCAAGATGCCCCCCCCACACCCTCCAGAAGGGCCATTTCCTCTAGTAAGCCTCGCGGCTCTACAGAAGCCCCTTCTGAGATACCGCCAGGTGAGGTGTTCCAAGGGGTCTGTGTGCAGGCATCCATCATCCTGAGCGTCGCCCAAAGTCAAGGCGGCACAGAGTCTTTGGCAACCAGTCTTAACATGGAGGGGCCCTGCCACAGGTTTCCTCATGACCTGGGATAAGTTAAAACAAAACAAAATCTACGCACCCCCCACCCCCCACAGGTCGATCTCACACACACAACCAAGAAGTGACAAGCCACCATCCCAGAGTTAACAGGTTCAAGTAGGGAGGGGCTCCTGGGCAGAATTCGTGGCGCACACACAATACACGTGGCCTTTGACACCCTGCGTGCAAAAAGCAAGTTGAGGGCCGCCTTCTCAGGTCTGGAGGTGGACAACGAGAAACTGGGATTTTTCTCCTTCTTCCACATGCTTTAACCATCGGGAGGGGGGCCACTTCCCAAAGTCATGGAGGGAAGAGAGACCTCTTTTTCTAAGAACCCCCTTGCTCTCTGTCTGAGCTCGGACTGTTCAGTTCTAAACTCCCACCCTGTTAAAATACACCCCATTTTGGTTCAATTTGCTGTGTTGTTATCTAGGATCAATTTCTGCCCAGGATGGTCAAGGCTCACAATAAATAAAACTGTACAAATAAAAAGGCACTTCTACAATGATGTATCCACGGGCATTAACAACCTCATGGTCTGGACCACAAGAGGATGGGGAAACCAGGCTCGTGTCAGAATTCTTTTTTAAATAAATGCAAATTTTAAAAATACTATCCATTAAAAAAAAAAACAACAACCCTATCCTTCGTCCATATTGGCACCCAATACAAAAGCTGCTTCAGAAGAGTCCGACAGGGTTCTTTAAAAAAAAGAAAAAAGAACACCACACAACAAAACCCGACTGACCGGCGCCCTTTTGTTTTCATTTTAAAATAAGCGGACGCCGACCGATTCCCATGCCTGCCAACCCCGCAGGGGTGGGGTGTCCAGGGTTCCAAGCCAGGGAGCCGCACCGACCCACCGCTTCTCACGGACGCCACCCACCCACTCCAGCTGAGCTGCCCCCATCCCTCCTGACCCCCACCCAAAAAAACAAAACAAAACAAAAAAACCCCGCACTTCTTTTTTGCTTTTGGCCGGGCGGTTCAGAGGGCCAGCCTCCAGCCAGCTGGTATCCCTTCCACTCAAGTGGGATGAAGAGACGGTGCTTCTAATCTGGGGCCTCTACCCCACCATCAAAACAGGCGCAACGGGGCCGTCGGTCCCTCCGGTGCAAACCAAGGGCTCTCCTGTAAGTGCTCTGTCTCCCCTCCCTTTCCATCGCCCCCCCCAATTTTGGGGTTGCAGCTGAAAGCGGCTTCTTGCCCCTCACCCAGAGACAAAGCTCTGTATCCACTCGGGGGGGGTGTGTGCACATCTGATGGCATTGAGGCAAGCCCTCCCTTGGGGCCAAAGCAGACCAGAAAGGACCCCCTATCCACACACACACACACACACACACACACACACAGCTTCTGGACAGACGCTTTTTGAAAGGGAGGGCTGGGGAGAAACCAGGACTCAGGCGTCTGGGATATGCCGCACGTGGAAGACTGAGGCGACCACCTCGAATGGAGAAGATCACGACCGGGAGGCCCTCCTCTCGGCGCGGAGAGAGAAAACCTCCCCGCTGTGGCTCCTCGGGTGAACGCGCTGGCTCGCCACCCAACGGCACGGCTTTAATGGCAGGCTATTCTCGCATCAAGGCAGCCGATTCTAGCCTTTTGGAGGAGCAAACACAGACGTTGGGGTGAAGCAGCAGCTCTTTGGAAAGACAGCCGAGCCGCTGGGCTGGGGTCAGTGGGGTGGCCACCGAGATGCCCCCTGCGGCTCCAAAAGCAGAGAACTAACCCAAGACGAGACGAGACGACAACCCTAACCGTTAGCCAAAGGAGGGACCCCTGGGTGGCGGAGGGTGGGGTGGGGTGAGGGTTTTTGCTAGCTTCACTCAAGGCCCCTTGACGCTCCCCCCCCCGCCCTGCTCCGGTGCAGAGATGGGCTTGAACCGCTAATTTGGCAGCTCATTTCCCAGCCGAGCCGCAGATCAGCCAGGAAACAGGTGATGACGAACTGCCAGGCCAGCGGTCCGTGCCCATCTCTAGGGCAGACGCTGCTCCAGAGCTCGGCCAGACGGGACCTTCGGCTTTGACCCAATCTTTAGCAGACCCCGCCAAGCAGGCACGAGGGCATGCAGCGGGTGGGCCCAGTCAAGAGCCAGAGGAAAAAGCACGCGCTCACACAGCGACCCCGAAACCCGTTTCTGCCCCTTTATAAAATACCCAAATGACAAGCGGGAAGCCAAAGTCTGGGGCTCCTTTGCACCGAATCACCACTGCCACGAGCAGCAAAAGGACTGGTCGGAGCGAGGCCCCATTGTCTTTTAACGTTCCTGCTCTAGGACGCCTCCTCTTTCTCCTCCACTACAGTCTTCAGGATTCCTCTTGCCCGGTGAGGGTGGGCGGGGGGAGGAAAAAAAATATGTGCCTGGAAACTTGAGGATCGCTCAGAACTAGCAAGCTCTAGACACGAACATGCACACCCCCTGCATGGCTCTCCGTTAAAAATCACCATCACACACACACACACACGCACAAAGCCTGGCGGTGGAAAGCTTCAAGTCTTATTTTCAAGTAGATCTGTGGAAAGGCAGGTTGTTTTCTCAGCCTTACGACGCCTCTCCTCCCACGGGCACCCGGCTTTGGGCTGGGAAGCAGAAGGACCTCTCCCTATAGATTGGCCACCTTTGATCCTGCATCCTTTCCCACTTGATTCAGATACACACACCGACTAAATGTTGGGGGCATTTGAAGGCAAACATTTGCTCCTGTTTAAACGAAACCTCTAACTTTTTTTTTTAAAAAGAGCTTTTATGTTAATTTAAATGTCCTGATAAGTGCATAAAGCACATTTCAAAATTCTGTCTTCCAAGTCTTACGTCTCAGAAAGATAACAGCCACCGCTGGCAAGAAGTATTTTACAACCGACTCCGCTTCAAAAGTAATGGAAAGGAAAAGACAAAAGATGGCAAATTCCTCTCACATTCCAAAGATATTCCTTTGCCGGCCAAATCCACCCGTCCCCATTATCTTCACAGCCCATCTCTTAAGGATTCCCCCAAGACATCCACTTTTTTGAACGCGAATCTTAAACCGCCCCCCCCCTTTTCATCTCTGATCCCAAGGACTTTATCTTTGCTCTTCTCTAGGCACAACAGCATCCGTCTTACCAGAACTCTTCCCCTCTTGTTTAAGAACATCTGGGCTGGGGCAAAGGCCCAAGGGCATTCAAAATAATAATAATAATAAAAATTGGATTTTCAATGCAATTTTCCAACTCCAACTTCCCTCGGTCATTTTCCAGCACAACTGGATTCCAGATGACAAACACACGCGCGCACGTACATCGCTCTCATGTAGCTTGCCCACCGAGGTTCCTTGTGAAGCCCGAAGGCCATTTCCCCCACCGGTGTGTCCTGCCCTGAAGGGCTTCCGAGTTGGTCCTGAGACTCCGAGGAAAGGAGGAGACCGAGCCAGAGGACGGGTTGACAGCCTCAGGGTGGATTTCCAGCCTGCTGGAGCCGGAGGGGGTCATGCCTGTCAGAGCAGCAGCAGGAAGACCATCGTCTCCGGGGAAAAGGAGCAAAGCACCATCAGAAGAGAAAAGGGTTCTGTTCTTTGTCTGGCCTGTCGAAGCCTGTTGTGGATCTGTTTGGGGTGGGGGCAGCAAGATGGAGCACGTCTTCTGTCCGTGTGAAGCAGTAAAGTCCGCCTCTGGAGTCTTCCTCCCTCCCCCCCCAATCCCTCTCCCACCCAACCCCATCCCCTGCTGGCCGGCCGGCCGCCTGCCTGCCCCCTCGGGGGGCTTCAGAGATTCTTGAGACGACTGTAGAGTTCTCGCTTGCTCTTCTCTCCAGCCCACGTGCGGCTCTTCAGGCGGAAGGTCCGCAGGTCCTCCTTGAAGTCCTTGTGGTGCATCGGGCGGTAGTTCTGGGGTTCGCAGTGTCCCTGGCCGGGCAGAGAGAGAGACACAAAAGAATGAGCAACCCAAGACCAGCTCTGGCAGGGGGTCCGAGCAAAGGCCTCTTCCCCATGGGGCTGCCCCCGGGGCACATGCACCGAAAACCCAAAAGCACGACTTAAACCCGACGGCAGCCGATACACAGAACCACACCTTGCCTCCCACACTGGAGATGACACCTATCCATCAGCCTCACAGACAGATTTCGGAAGGGAGGCAGCAAATTTATTCCAAAGTGCCCACTGCTGCCTCTCCCATGTGAACGATGTATCGTGTCAACAAGGGATTCCTTCTGGCAATCCTTACATTATCCTCCTGTTAAGTGGAGGACGCTGGGAGTCGTAGTCTCATTGCCCATTAGGCTCTCCAGAAGGCGTCTCCTGAAGAACTATGACTCCCAGAAATAACTGCAGCAACTTTCATTGATATATATGTACACACACACAGTGTGTGCATATGTACATATATATGAACGAAAGGAACTGCAAAATTTTCATATACAGTGGTGCCTCGCTTAGCAACGTTAATCCGTGCAGCAAAAATCGCTAAGTGATTTAGTCGCTAAGTGATTTAGTCGCTAAGTGATTTTAAAAAGCCCATAGAAACACATTGAAACCCCTTCAATGCGTTCTTATGGGCTCCTAAACTAACCTTAAGTGAAAATCCTCCATTGCGGTGGCCATTTTCGGTGCCTCTAAAGGGAGGCAACACAGCCAGCAGCCATTTTGGAACTGCCGATCAGCTGGCCGAAAATGGGGCGTTTGCGATGATCGCTTCCCTGCGATGATCGCAAAACGAATTTTCCCCATAGGGGCCATCGCAAAGCGATCGCTTTTGCAATCGCAAAAACAGCATTGCAAAGCGATTTCTTTGCTATGCGGAGCAATCGCTATGCGAGGCACCACTCTCTGTGTGTTGTGTATATATGCACAAACACACACATACACACACCTACACTGCACAATATAGACAGTACACTTTCTTCTAGTGCCCCAAAACAAGTCATTCCACTCCTGTTGCTAATTCTTACCATGATCTTGTAAATTAGAAGGCTCTCCCCCACCCCGGCCAAACCTGCAGAGTTGTGTTGGCCAGTGAGTGGTGGGGAGAATCTTGGTCCAGGCCAATCTCCCTGGCAATGGAGGGCAGTGTAGGGAAGGGGGCAACTGATTAGGTTGTCCCCCTGCACCCTTCTCCCACCACTGCTAAACAGTCAGGCTGATGGGAGATGAGGGGCAATGTAGTCCTAATGCATCTTGAGGATACCAGATGGGTGAAGGTTTTCTCAGCATGCTCTTTTCTTCTGGACTACTCTGTCAGTGCACGGATAATTTAAACCTTTCCCACTGCTTTCCTGGTGGACTGAGTAACTGTGACATAGGCTTTGCACACCTATGGATTTGTGCAATTAAGGACCTATTACTTACATCTGGCAACGGAGGCAACCTGACTGTGGACTGGAATCCCTCCTCTGCTGCCCATTTCTCCAACTCCCTTTTAAAGCCACCGGACCCAGCTTTATTTATAATAAACCCAATCGGTCTTGTTACATGCAGCTAAGACTCCCATTAGGAACCAACTCACTCGATATTGGGGGAAAAATTCTTTATAGCCTCCTTTCAAGACGTACAGCTCAGGATAGTGCAAAGACGGATAATCGTTGCACGCGCGGTCTTTTTCCCTCACAAAGCGACACCTTCAAGAAAGGAAGAAAGCATCGTCAGGGACCGTCTGAGATATGCAGAGAGGAGAGACGCCAGAGGCTTCTCTCCGATCCAAACAACAAATACCGAAAAAAAAGAGGTTTCAGTTTCAAGGCAAAAGTTCCCCCAATAAGTGACAGAAAGTTCTCTAAGCACGCAGGTGGTTCGGTTTTCTTCTTTTTCAGTTAGGTGACAAGAGAGAGGAAATTGCCCGATCGCAGCGGAAAACCATCATGAATATATTCCCTTTATTTTGCTACTTAAGACACAAGACTGGCAGGCACCCCAGGAAAGCCCCCAAGGGCTGTCTTTCAGTTCTTGATGCTTGCCACGAACAGGAAGAAACGAAGGCGTTGTCCACAGGGGCTGAATCCAGCTTTTGTCAAGTAAGCAGCAAATGGTGATCAGAGTCTCCTCCCACGAAGCAGGCTTGCTTCTCACAGTTTTAAAAAAAAATCTGTGAAATGAAAGCTAACCTTCAGAGTTCATCGCCTAAAGGCCTGTCACTCACAACTTAGACAGCTACATTTCCTTTGAACAGAGCACAAAAATACACGTCTTGTATTCAGGTCTTGCAAATTTAAGGCTGCATCATCCTTTATTGTGTCAATCTCTCTTGTGTTCAGCCCTCCTGCTGCCTTCATCTTTTCCCAGCCATACGGTCTGTTCCAGTGAATCTCGTCTTCGTGATGATGATGATGATGAACTGCAAAGCTGGAAGAAATTCTATGGATCATCCAGTCCAGCCCCTATCAAGGAGACGAAGTGCGGGGGGGCGGGAATCGAACTCCCAAATTCTGGCTCCACAGAAGGAAACCTAAACCGCTGAGCTATCCAGGAGTCTTCTCAGGATGTGCTCAAATTTCAGTAGTCTCAGCTATTTTGTTTTTGCTTCTGGACAGTTTTCAGGCTTAATTTGCTTGAGGACCCTCTTGTTCACCTTTCTGGTGATCCAGGGGATCTGTAAAACTCTCTTCTGGAGCTACACTTCAAACAAACCTGTCTTTTTCCTGCCCACTTGCTTCACTCTCCAGCTTTTGCATCCATACAATTCAACCAGGAATCATCTTGATTGTGGATTAGGAAGGAAGGAGCTGGTGATGGACGGACAGACAGACAGACAGATGGAAGGAAGGAGCTGATGAAGAAAGGAAGGAAAGGGAATAGAAAGAAGGAAGGGGCTGCTGATGGATGGATGGGCAGAGATGGAAGGATGGCGCTGATGAAGGAAGGAAGGAAAAGGAAGACAGGAAAGAAGGAGCTGGTGATGGATGGACAGACGGACAGAGAGATGGAAGGAAGGAGCTGATGAAGGAAGGAAGTCGCTTCCTTCCCAGCTGGAGGGGGACAGCACCTGCAGGCCCTTGCAGGGGAATACAGAAGTTGGGGGGGGGGAAACCAAGCCCAAAAAGCAGGCGCTAGAGGAGGTTGGCAGAAGGAGAGCCACCAAGCAAAGCTTACTTACATCCGAGGGCCCCTCTCAGAGGAGAACTCGCAGTGGAAGACCACAATCACCCTCTTGGTCGAGTCAAACGGCACAATGGGCTTCTTGAGAAGGAACTCTTCCACATCTTTCTCCAGCGGAAGGTTAACAGCCCCCTGAAGGGAGAGAAAAGCAGGCCTTTTTGCAAGACGCGAGAGGCCAGCGAGGACGCATCGTGTCTTTCTCCCCTCTCCACGCCAGTCGAACAAAATATAAATGGAACAGATGAAGGGGTGAGCCAAGCCAGAGAGAGCCTGCATGACAGCTTTCCAACCAAACCCTTCCAGACACCGGGTGGAAGACCGTTTCACCGTGGCTGAGCCAAGCTCCCTTGCTCACCCCAAAGCAAAGTCGGTTTACAAAATGCTAAAAATTGGACAGGAAATAAAAGGTAGAACAGGAGGCTAATACTCTAGCTCTTCCTCCCCTTGGCCTTTCAAACACTGGCATGAAAAAGGAAGAGGTTGCAACCTCCGCTGTAAATTTCAGGGAGAAGAAATGATGGGCGTTTCCAGCAAGCCGACCGCCATGCTGGGGTGACCAGAGGCATAGCCTTTTTTCCTTGACTTGGCTGCTGACGGCCATTGTGCCCCCCCATCCCTCCCCCTGCATCATGAAAGGAGGGGAATGGATGCTAACATCCCATTACTGCCCTCAAAGGCCCAACCCCACCCCAAGAAAATAAAGCCAACTGCTGTCATTATCACCTTAACAGTTCCTTTCATTGCCTGCTTATGCCACAGACATCGACTATAATCTGTGCCTATCAGAGGGAACCTTAGATTAAACTCCAGGAATGTTTAGGGACAGCTTTGCCCCAGGATCTCAGTCACAATGAAGAGATCAGAATTTCACATGGGAAAATCCAGGCCTGTGCCTTTCTTTATGGAAAGGATAGCTTTTGCCTTGTCGTGAGAAAGCAGCAAAATCAACGCCCAGAGACCCTCCCTGTGAAAAGAGTTTCACAAACAAGGGAACTACCACCAAGGAGGCCCTGCTTTGCCTTGCCGCCACCGCAACACCTGGGAGAGAGACTGTGACGCGTACCGCCTTGGCGCATGGCTGGGCGGATCGAGAAGCACGCATCCTGTCAGATGGTTTTGGAAAGCAGGGCTTTAAAGAGGAGAACCAGCCCTCCGAAGGGTGCTCGCCGATGGACCTTTCGCCCCAGGTGGGATCTGAAGCCAGCAATCGGCCCATGAGGAGAGAGAAAAAAAGGTGGCGGGTAGAGAACCAACCTTGATGTGACCCCCTTCGTATTCGTAGGGGTACCTGCAGTCCACGATCACACAGTTCTCAATGAGGTTGCTGAACTGGCCGCTCAACACCGCCACCATCTGCGGGCAAAGAAAACGTATTTTCAAAACGGATCAATGCAGAACAACCAACCCAGAGATGATGAAACAGAACACATGAGGCTGAACATCAACGATCAGATCAGGTGGAAAAGCCAAGCTCTGAAAGAGCCCTGCTGTGAACCGCCTGGAGTAACTGCTGATCAGAGGGGTGGTGTCGAAAGGAAATAAATAAATAAATAAATAAACACGGAGTAACTGCTGATCAGAGGGGCGGTGTAGAAAGGAAATAAATAAATAAATAAACACATTCCCCCAAAAATCTTACGCTGGCCATCCGCCCACCAGCCCGTGTCCCTGCCCCTTCTCCTAAAGGGAGGGCCAACAGGGGGAAGGGGAAACAGCATCCAGGCTAGGAGGCTCCCAGGGCCCGACGGGGGACAGAGGCCGGATCCGTGCTTCCTTACCATTTCAGGAGAGATGTACTTGAGATCCTGATGCTTGCCTTCTACCGTCTGCAGAAGATACGCCTAAGCAGGTGAGAGACCCGGCAGGTGAGCAGGCGGCAGAAAGGAGAGGGAAAGCGGGGAGGATGAGGAGCGGACCAGAGCCGCCCCCCCCTGGCAAAGTGCCCCCCTTTCCCGAACCTACCAGAAGGAGCCACTTTCCTACCTGTGCCGCTTGCCCCCCCCCAACCAGGTCCCCAAGCTTTTTGGGAAATGGGGAGGTCATGGCAGGGACCCCTCTCAGGGAGAAGAGAAGCAGCCCTCTGGCCCAGCCGTTACCTTCGAGAAGTCTCCAATCAGCTCCCGGTGGTCGTTGTCCAGAATGTTTGCAATCTCGCTGGGGCAGCAGGAGCGAGAGCGGACGAGACGTGGCTTCTGGTGGGGAAAAAGACGGAGCAAGGCGGCTGAGGACTTGAGGATTTTGGGGCTGGGGGGGAGCTTTAAAAAAAACCCCACTGCTTCTTAAGAATGGTGCAAATTGCTTCCTGAGCCAGAAGAGTCATCTCAACGGAGCCCAAAAGATACATTGCAAACCTAAAGCGGAGCTCAGAGCCTTGTAGGGTTTGCTGAAGATTATTTGGGGCAGGGGGGGTACGCAGCAGGGGGGGCTGCTCTGTGTTTTGCCTCCTGTTTTAAAAGAGACAGACAGAAACACAACCAACTCCCAAATCCTCGCTGCTAATTTTATATAGGATTATCCTACGAAGCAAGAACAGCCCAGGCAGTGTCATGAATATAAACCGGAATTCATCGCTCCGCAAAAACTACTCGGCCACAACAGACATCAACATCCTGCTTGCTCCTGAGTCCATTCCTAGCTCCGACGTAGAGTTGGAAAATCCAAAGGCACCTTGTTTTGCCTCCTGTCCCAGGAGAGGGCCCTTCCCTACACGGCAGCCCAGTGTGTTCACGGTGGACACCCCAGCCAATAACTCTTAGCCCTCTTAGGACCCCAAAAAGAGGCAGCTGTGTCGGGAGGCCTTTAAGAGCCCCCCTTGCCACCTTTCCCGAGGGCAGCTGAGCTGGCAGGCAGGCAGGAAACGTTCTTCCCCAATTCCCAAAGCCCAGGCCGAGCAGGGGTGCCTGGATAGCACCGCAGTCCTAACGCAACCAAGGCGACCACCCAGTGGCTTCCTGCAAAAGGGAAAGGCGACCACGGATGGAGACAGCCGGCGCCTGCCCACCTTTCCGCTTCGGAGACGGCCTTCCCACAGGATCTGCCTCCGAGATTGATGGGGATTTTTGCTTCCCCATCTTCCTCCAAGCATTAGGACTAAACCAGACCAAGATATTGCCAGCTCAGACTTCATCAGGAGCCCAAAGCATCCCACTCCTTCTCTCCTTGGAAGGAGAGAAACCCAGATAGTTTGCAAAAACGGGCCCAAAAGAGAGGGCCAGCCAGCAGGGGCCACATGCCTGGAGCCAACATTCCTGAGCCTTGTGGTCATGCTGATAAGAGAATACGTCCCCCCGTCATCACACACACACACACACCCTGCGCCCCCCAGCCCAGCGACAGCGCCCTCCCTGCACCAACAACCTACCGGCTCTTCCGCCTTCTCAGCGATGGTGTTCCCAGCCAGACTCTTCCGCCTCTTGGTTTTCACCGGCGTATCTCTCTCTTTGTCCTGCGGCCGGTCCAGCCGCTTCAGGACGGGCCGGATGACGCTGGTCGGCATGGACGGAGAGCGGAAAAGGCGGCAGCCTCTGCTGGTACCCAGTGGGGTCTGCTCAGGTGGGGAGTGGAGAGGAGAGAAAGAGAAGCTGCCATGTCTGGGATGGATTCTCTTGGTCCAGAATCTCAAGCCAGATT